GCGACTCTGGGCGGTTTACAGAGAAGATAAAATCAGTTAAAATACAATATAAAAGCAGTCTTAAATAAATAATAAATAAATGCCAAGAATTGATGGAATTGGCGAGTAGCTACGATCTGCTTTGAGCGTTTTCATTACCTAAAATCCCAATCCGCAGAGGCCTTTGCGCGCGTTGCCGCTTGGCCTTGAGAGCCGTGAATGTGTGCAGGCGATTCCAGACAGTCTGCTCGGCCTTCTCCCTGAGGAGCAACGAACCATGGGTGAACCTTCGATCAGGGCTGAAAAGTGACTGAAAACTACTCTCCGGCTGTAGAGGTGCCCTGTGTTTTTCCCAGCCCATTCTGGGAAGTGGGGAATCCAGATACGGCTAGATTGCAAATCCCACCATCTTTGACCCGTGGACAGACCAATCAGTGCTGATGGGAAGAAGAGTTCAGCAACTTCTGGAGCTGCTCATCATCCTGGGTTTAGGTGACAGAAACCGCATGCTCATTTATAAGCCGAGAGCATCATTCCTTTCCAGAAGGGTAGAAAGGAATAGGTTCACTTGTGGCTTCCTTCTACCTAACAATCTGAAATACAGCTGGGGAAGACAAGGCCCAAGAAGTAGACCATCTTCCCCAACCAGATGACTTCTTGCTTTCTTGGACTCCAGCCACCATCATATTCATTGGCTCAAGGGATTCAGGGATGGAGGTCACAGAAGCTGAACTCCAACCCAACTGGGAGACAGCCAGTTGGGGAAGGATGCCCTGAGGACCGTCCAAATAGAAGACTTCCAAATTCTTTAGTTTTCCATGCTATGCCTCTGCCTGGAAATGGCGGGGAGAGGGGGGCAACCTGACTCCACTGCTGTAGCATACTGTAGCATACTGGAATCCAGGCCCCTGAACTGCTCCATCAACAGGGCATGTTCGCCAGGTTATAGGATTGGCAAGATGATCTCTTGTGTTTGTTTAATTGAATGGAATGTCGGGTTGGCTGGATTTAAGAAATAAGTGGATTGTCACAAGCACAGCTTGTCACGCTGATTGTTAACTCAAATGATCTCCCCTCTGAACCACCTCTCACCCACCTGAGACAGATGGGCCCTGGGCTTCTTGGATAAGTCTGAGAGATCAGCTAAGCTAACCACTCCCAACCAGGCAGCCTCCAGATTTGACAGAACTGCAACTCCAAAGCAATCAGTCCCATCTGGAAGATGCCAGGCTGGAGACAGTTGGTTTGGTGCGCCGCGATGAAGAACGTTCAAGGCCGAAGGGGGAGGGAACTCCCCATCGGGAAAGGGAACAGTCCAGTGACCTTGCCAATTCAGCAGCAGAATTATGAATACATCTAACCCGAGCAGAAAAGCCGGAACAGCCTCCAAAGAAGAAACTAAGCAGCCTCGGATTTAAGGAGTAAGGACACCTGGGGGAATGGTGCCGTATGCTATAATTATTTCTAAAACCAAAGAAACCAGCAATCCATGTCTTACCTGATGGAACACGTGACAAGCAGAACCACGTCAGCCTAAAAGAGAGTGTGGGGAGAAAGAGCTGGAGTTATTAAAAACAAACAGGTGTGGAGAGAAACATTTCCTTCTCTGGGGTCAAATGTTCCACATCTGCACAGAGCAGGCTTCTTGCCCGATCTTCAAATTAGATTCCTCAGGAAGCTCTATTTAAACAGAAAAAACCGTCTCCAGCATTCAAGCTTGAAGGCACGCTGGGGATGGTAACACGTGGCTTAGGAGAAGGTAATCGGAATCTGTTTTTCCAAAAGTCCTAACTTTATGACATCATAATATTAATCTGTTAAACTTTGCGATGGCAGGGAGGGCCCATGACTCCTGTGCCACAAGACTTTAAGTCTGCACGAATTCGACTCCATCAGATGTTCAGTTGAACAGAAAGGGAATCCTTTTGCAAACTTCTCGTGATGAAGATGAGTCCTTAGACCAGGAAAAGCTCGCTGTTTGTTTTGAGACATTCAGGATCCTGGTATTACCAAGGATACAGTTTACGAAGCCCCATGGAGGAAACCAGAGGCGTGCGTGTGTGTGAAATGAAGGCGCTGATAAACTAGAGAAAGAGATCTTATGAGTAGACATCCTTTAGCAGAAATTTTGAAAAGACAGGCTGACTGGGCATTTGAAAAATAATTTAACCTGTCAATAAAGCAGATTCAGGTGCCTGAAGACTTTTTTTGACCCAGGGCTGTATAAATTTCAGAAGATTCGGAAGCAGTGCTATGGACCACATGTCAGTACACGCCCAGCCTTCCTCTGCCCTTTGTTAAAGCAGCCGACAACTTTAAAGCTTTAATTAGCAGGTTCCTTAAAGCAGATGCACCATGGAAACACTTCTGAACTGTTTTCAAAGCACAGACATCCCCAGTCTCTGGAGTTTCTATATTTATTCATCTGCCAGATTTATATCTTGCCTTCTGTTCAGGAGCTTAAGGCTGCATACATATTCCCTTTCCTCTCATTTTCTGCTTATAGCAAGAACCCTGTGAGGTAAGCTGGGCTGAGAGCAATTGGGCCAAAGTCACCCCACAAGCTTCCATGGCTGAAAGAAGACCACAATCTGAGTCTTCCTAGTGCCAATCTAACACCTTCACCACTAGACGACCGTGGTTCTCGCTAGCAGGCTTCCCCAATCTGGTGCCCCCCATGAATGCTAGACTGGCACTCCCATTGGCCCCAGCCCCTGGCTGCCTTTAGCACTTCTAATGAGACTGCCACCAGAAAGAGCCCAGGCTGGCCCCCAAGTACCTCCGCAAGGCTGCTAGTCCTCTGGTAGCCGCTCCGCTGAAGGATGGCCCAGGCTGTCTCCGTGTCACTGACATTCATCTGGCAGCCGTAGGTCTCCAGGTAGACTATGTGGCAAAGAAGGGGGGTGAGGAGGAGGAGGGATTCCTTAAGGGAGGGGCCACAGCAGTTCTGCCACTCATTCTGGGGGTTGCTCCATTCTTGTAGAATTGTAGGCAGCCCCCTCTGGGCCAAGCCCCCCCCCCAATAATCCTGCCTGGACAAATGCCCATTTTCAACAAAGGAGATACCCACTCTCTGCAAGTAAACCCATCTAAGATAAAGGTCCCCACCCCACTTGACTCCTGGTAACGGTATGGACAATCTGCATAGCCTTTTTGGCAGCTACAAGGAAATAACTTCCCACTGTTATTTTCCGACTCCCCTGCCTAACCTCCAGCCTCAGGGTTTCCTAGTGGTCCCCCCTCCAAATACAAACCAGGCTCAACTCTGCTAGGTGCCAGACTGCTATTTAATCATGAAAGAAATATTTTGCTGCTGTGGCTTCCACAGCAGGACATATAAAGACTCCAGTGATGCCTCTCTACACAAAATCAAGCCAGCAGTCCTGCTGCATTTCAGGAAATCTGTGATGGAGCAGCAATACAGACCTTTCTTTGGGGAATCTGCCAGGCTGATGGGTTCAAGATAAGGTGCTGGGTCTTCCAAGTCTTCAGCCAGCAGGCGGTGGGCATCCTGTGCAGGAGCAGCCGCTTGAAGGAAATGCTGCAGAGATGGGCCCGCTGCTAGCTTGGAGCGGAAACCTTCGAGGCTTCCCTCGTGTCTTGCTTTCCTTGGGGGAGTCCCAGGAGCCGGATTGCAGGTCGAAACCCAGGCCTGGAATCCCGAGCACACAGACCAACACAGAGGCCTTGGGCAGACCAGAGCGCCACGCACAGCCAGCATCTTGGCACGAGACCCTTCCGCTCCCTAAGGCAAGCAACAGGTTAGAACTATCAATCATCTCTTCCAAGGGGCCCTTCAAACAAGACGTGTGGACACATCATTCCAAAAAGTGCTTAAAGTCAGCAAAGGGGAGTATGTGATATGAGGACCTTTCATCACGAGCTATGCGCTTCCTCAACTTGCAACAAGCGTTCATCACGAGCACAAGTGTCAGAACAAGAATCCTGAAGCCGTGGCAGATAAGGATGGTTGACACAGCACCATAAGGACACCCGGACGAACAGCCTTCCCCATCTATCCCCAGATGTGTTGGAGTACAACTCCCATCCCACCTCCACAAACGGGCTCAGGGGCAGTTTGCAGCCTTTTCCCCAGGACATGAAGCAGGGGCAGGCCTGGAGGGCAGATCAGTTCCTTCTGCAATCCGTGGTGGAAGGTTATAAAGGGACGGGGACCGCTGAAGATATTCCAGTTCGGCCCCCTGCTTAGTGGGAGAAGCTCACAGCCTTCCCAGAAGGTGGCAACCCAGACCCCGCTTAGAACTCTAGAGGTGGAAGGGGGACCCCGAAGTCATCCAACTAGAGACACAGTCGGGGGTAACGGTGAAGGTGCCGGCCTAGAAACCAAAGACCGCGCGTGCCGGTCCCCCTTAGGCGTGACCGCCTCTCCCTGGCGGTCTCTGCCCATCCCACCAGAGTGGGCAGGGTGGGCACGCTCCGGGTCCCTTCGCTTAAACGGTGCCACCTTGCGGATCCTCGGAAGCGTGCCTTTTCCGCTGCAGCCCCTGCCCTGTGGAGCGCCCTCCCCCGAGACCCGACAGCCCCCCGCCCGCTAACCTCCCGGGGAGCCCCAAGGCCGGCCCTTCCCCGGGCCTTGGGACGCGGACAGCAGCGCCCGCTTCCCGGGTTCGTGGCTTCCCTCACGGAGGCAGGCGCGGCTCTCCGCTCGGGGTGACGCCGCCCGGAGCCCGGTTTCAAGGCGGGCGGCTCCACGAAGGCTTCGAACGAACGAACGAACGAACGGGGCGACCCCGGCCGGCCGCTCCCTCGGCCCACCCGCCTCGCGGGGCTGCAGTTCCGGGGAAAGAGCGGG